GGAGGAGGAGGAGGAGGAGGAGGAAGAAAAAACAAGAGGAAGCAGGGAGGGGGAGAAGGAGGAGGGGAATAGGGAGGGGGAGGGAAGGGGAAGGGAAAGAAGTAAATGACCAGAAGCAAAGGGGAAATCCTCTCCCTCTCCCTCTCTCTCCTGTCTTATCTATCTATCATCTATCTGTCTGTCTGTCTGTCTCTTTGTCTATCTCCATCTATCTATCTATCTATCTATCTATCTTTTTTATATATATAAATATAGTTTATTAATTTTTACAATTAAAACCAGTCACAATACATACACAAATAAGCAAAAGAAAGAAAAAGAAAGAAGAGAGAAGAGGAAGAGAGGGAAAGAATTTTGAGAAAAGAAAGAAAAAGAAAGGGGGAAGAAAGAAAGAAAGAGGTTACAAGATAAAAAGTATTCTTATTTTAACAGTTTGCAAGATCTTCTTTTGTTTTCATAACCTTAACTTGTGTCATATAACCACACCTGTTTTTAACTTATATCGCTACCTCGTTATTATGGGTTGATACTTTTCTTTTATGCCTTATGATATATAATTTATCTTTGGTCAATCCAATTATACCAACAATTCCAGCTATCGTAGTCTTTGTTTTTTAGCGCCAAAGTCAATTTATCAATTTCTGCGCATTTTGAGATTTTTTCAATAATCATTTCTTCTGATGGAATTTTATGTTGTTTCCAGTGTTGAGCGAAGGCTAATCTGGCCTCTGTTAAAATGTGTATTGTTATGTATTTGGCTTTTTTGGAAATTTGCTTATCAAAAATCCCTAGTAGGAAGGACTCTGGTTTGTATTCGATCTGCTCTTTGGTGATTTCTTCCAACCAAGTTTTGATTTTCTTCCAATACTTTTGGGTTTCTGCACAAGACCACCACATATGGAAAAAGGTTCCTTCTTTTTTCCTACACTTCCAGCAATGCGGACTCATGTTGGGATGCATCTTCGCTAACCTCGAAGGGGGGAGATGCCATCTATAAAACATTTTATAAAGATTTTCCTTGTATGCTGCCGATTTGGTAATCTTATTGTTTCTGCCCCAAACTTTCTCCCATTCCGCTAATGTGATGCTGCGCCCTACGTTCTTACTCCAAGCAATCATATTTCCTTTTACAATTTCTTCTTCTAGTTCTGTTTCTAATAAGTAGTTATAAAATTTTGTTATGTTTTTTTTATTTGATCCTAATAAAATTTTATCTAACTGTTGCAGTTTGTTATTAATTCCGAATTCTTTTTTGTCTTGTTTATATCTGCTTTGAATCTGAAGGTAAACCCATTGATCAATTTTATGTCCTTGCTCCTGAAGATCCAGCCTCGGTTTCAAATTTCCTTGTGGGTCTAATAAGTCTTTGTATTTAATCATTTTGGTAAGCTCCAAATTGTTTGGGTGAATCATTGCCTCCGTTGTTGAAATCCATACTGGTACTTTTGTATAATGTTTTTTCCTTATTTTCCTCCAAATTGTTAATAGTGCGTCTCTAATTAAATGTCTATGGAAATATTTTTGACTATCTATCATATCTATCTATCCATCCATCATCTATCTATCTATCTATCTATCTATCTATCTATCTATCTATCTATCTATCCATCCATCCATCCATCCATCCATCCATCCATCTTATCTCTATCTATCTCTATCTAATTGCTATTAAATCGTAAAGGATGTTCAAAGACCGTAATACAGTTATTCCTTGACTTACGACCCCAACTCAGCCCAAAATTTCAGTTGGGAAGCGAGACCGTCATTAAGTGAATTTTTGCCCCATTTTTTTACGATGTTCCTTGCCCCAGTTGTTCATTGAACCCCTCCAGCTGTTAAGGGACTCATGCAGCTGAGAAGTGAATCCCACTGACTTTCCTGGCCAGAAGCTCTCCAAAGAGGATCACGTGACCCCCCCCTCGACTCCCCCCAGGGACACTGCAACAGCTGTCACAAGTCTGAGCCCGTTGCCCAGCGTCCCAACATTGACCACAGAGACCCACAGGAGAATGCCACAGCGGTCTTACGAGTGAAAAACGGTCCCAGGTCCATTTTTTCCAGCACCGTTGTAACTGAACAATCCCTAAATGAACCGTTGTAAGTCGAGGACTACCTGTGAAGGCATATGGGTTTGGCATTCACCCCCCACCAAAGCTCCCGCTGCAAGAGTGACTAACAAAGCCCTCGGGGCAAGGCAAGGACGAGCAGAGGGGCAGAAATCCGCTGTGGTTTCAGCTAACCTTTTCTTGAGTTTGGTGCGATCTTTCGGGGTGCTCGAGTCCTGGAGAGACCCGTGCCGGTGTGGGGGAACCTCGGATAGTAGGGTGGGGAAGGCAACCCCCCTGCAACGAAGAGGAAACCCTCCAGAGCCCTACGATCAAGAATAGCCCCGTGTTAATGGAGGCTCCGAAGTCCTGACTGCCACCGATGTGAAGGAAAGAGTGAGTGACAGTTTGCAAGTTCGTTGGGAAAGAGAGTGATGATTAAAGTTAGTGGCGGAGAAGAAATTTGGAAGAGAGTACAGATTGACTTTAGGCTGTGATATATTGTTTAAGAGCGTCTGTTGGGAGCCCTAAGAGAAAGCGGCCAAAAGCGAATTTGCAAGTGAAAGCAAAAGGGGCTCGGCAGACAGAAGAGAGGTGGAATAACAAAGATTTAAAGAGGAATCCAGCATCACAAAGTGACTGAAAAGATCTAGTTACCATTTGCATTTGAGCAGATCCTTTTACAACCGGAGCCAGAAAGCAGAACTAAGCTGATCCGGGAAGGGCATTTAAAACGCGGAGGTGGCTGCAACGAAGTAACAGACTTAACTGACTGAAAGGACACAATTTATTCAAACAATCCCTGGGAACCTGAGGATATTGCTGCACTGGAGGAGACAGCTTTTTCCCCCTCCTCTCGAAGGAAATCAGGGCAATTGAAAAAACTGGAAGCCTTTGAATGAGTGAGAACGCTGTTTAATCGTAGCTGTTACTCAGCAGCTTTTCACCTTCCATTTCCGGTGTGCTTAAAGTGAAAGCTCCCAAATTGAAAAGTGAAAACTAAAAATTATATTTCTAGAGCTTCTCTTTCTTTCTTTTTTACTTTCCTCTTTGCGCATATATTTACTTAAAATATTCTCCCTTCCTTCCTATCAGTTGATATCATGTTATGTTGAATTATGCTTTTTCTTTGATTCTCTCTTGATAGATATGCACATTATATTAGGTTGTTAATGTTAGGGATAACATTGGTTACCTAACTTAGTTTGGGTAAAATAATATATAAACTATGTTAGTGAGTTTAAGTGTATGTATCACTTTAAACTGTAAACCAAGTATTTTGGGTGCGGTTGTAAAATCACCATAAGAGGGAGCAAGAGAGCTCACTGTTTGTCCCTGGCTTTTACTGGAATGCTGACAATGATGAATTGATGGTGATAACTGCGTGTTTGCTGAGAGAAGAAAAGGGGTTTGATTTTCTTCATATCTCTGACTGCAAAAGAGATATATCACTGGACTGATTGATTGTAAGTTTAATGAACTCTTTTTCGACACTGGACTTTGCAAACTGAATAACCCCCGGACTGACTGAACTTAGTGTATGACTTATGGACTGTTTGACTATGCTATAACTATTGCTGGAATAAAAACTATTTAACTTGCACAGTGTATCTGTCTTACTGAGTGTAAGCTACTATAACATTATTATCTCACATACCTGCCTGTCTGCTAGACTGCCGTTGCACGTTCTGCTAGGGTGTATATCCCTAACAGTTAAATATTGGATTAATTAATTTAGTTAAGTTATTAATAACAAAGATTGCTATATTTTGTGTGGGAATATAGGGGGGATAGTAGGAATATTGGGTATTGATTAATTAACAATTTTAGAGTTCTCTAGTTTAATATCATATTGCATTGTGTGATCATATCTAGGAATATTTAGGAATGCAACATTTTTTGTAACTAAGCTTACTTTACATTTAAGTTAAATCAGTGAAATACAGATTTATCTTATTAATTAGTTAAGAATACAATTATTTAACAGATTGATAGACCTTGATCAATTCTAGTAATAGATTTAAGAACACTGAATGCCAATTTGGAACAATATACTTAGCATTGTACAACAACAAAAACAAATTTTACAGGAAATGACTTCTACAACTACTACAGCATTGAAAACTGGCAGAAAGGTCAACCCCACAATAACAACTACTTTAGCAACAACTTCACCCATGGCGCAAAAAACAATAGAGGAAACACTACCAATAGAGAAGCAAACTAGCATCTCGAATGCCAACATCCAAGCAATGTTTCTAACTTTACAGGACTCATTGACAAAAATGCAAGAAACAATGACTAAAAACCACAGTGAAACAAGAGCAGATATTAATGAACTGAAGGAAGAGATGGGGAAATTAAAGGCCGAAATGAAGGCGGACATCTTTAAAGTAGAGGATAAAGTGGGAGTACTGCAAGAGGCCTTGGAGAAAAATGAAGTTATAATAAAAGAGGTAGAAAAAAGAACTGACCGAACGGAAAAGGAATTAGAAAGAGTGGATGAAGATCTTAAAAACATGAGTAAAGAAATGGACGACTCATTGGTCCTCCTAGAAATGGACAAGGCGGCAATTTACTTAAGATTTCAAAATGTGGCGGAATCAAAAGAGGAAGACCTGGAATACTTGATGGCAGAAATACTGTCCGGCCTTTTGAAGAAGGACAGAGATGATATCCAAAAAGAGTTTGATGAAGTTTACCGGGTTAATACAAATTACGCAAGATGACACAAATGCCCCAGGGAAGTTCACATACGATTCACCAGAAGATGTACCCGTGATATGATATATAGAATTTCTAGAGATAAAACAATAACGTATAAAGAAAAAGAAATTATAATTCTTAAACAGATTCCAAGAAGAGTAAGGGAACAAAGGTGCGATTACAAATTTCTGGCAGCTTATTTAAACCAAAAAAGAATTACATTCAAATGGCTTATACCAGAAGGGATGCTAGTGTCGTGGAAAGAGAGGAAAATTAAAATAGACACCATGGAAAAAGCTCAGAACTTTTATGAACGGATGGTGGGCCCGCAGGAGCAAAGTAGTAGGGAGGAATCGGAGACAAATTCTCAAGAAGAATACGGTGGACATAAAAATAGAATCAGATCTGTAGGGAACCAAGAGGACACTCATTCGCAACAAAAGACAGAAGGAATCACACAAACACAAACGCAAGGAGAAACAGGAGCTGTTACACGCCAAAGAGCGAAACAGAACTAAATAAATGGGAGAAGAAAAAAAATTACTATCAATAAATATAAACGGTTTAAATTCAACGAATAAAAGAAAAAGGATATTAACTAAATTAATCAAACAAAAGGCCGATATAACATGCCTACAAGAAACGCACATAATGAAGAAAGATGAAAAATATTTAGAATGCCCGAAATTAGGAAAGTTATTTACCACACCAGCAGACGAGTGTAAAAAGAAAGGAATTGCAGTATATGTAAAAGAGGATTTAAAAGCAGAGCCAATATGGTCGGATTCAGAAGGAAGGACTCTGGTTTTGCAGATGTGGATTAATGACATCCCAATTCTTTTAGTAGTAATTTACGCCCCGAACGGGGACCAAAAAGAGTTTTTTAAACACCTATATGGAAAAATGGTTGAATTGCAACAAGAAAACATCTGTATTATAGGGGACTTCAATTCTATTGTTGAAATCAAAAAGACCACAGCAACGGCGGGAAAAATAAAAAGGGGAAAAGAGAGCTCCCTAAGATTTGCAGGGAAATGATGAAAGAGCTAAATTTGACAGATATATGGAGAAGACTACATCCTGGAAAAAAACAGTTTACATTCTATTCAAATCCCCACCAAACATGGACATGGATAGATATGGCATGGATGAATGGGGAAATAGCAAACAAAATAAAAGAAGTGGAAATTTTGCCCAGTGAATGGGCAGACCATAACCCAATTCAGATAATATGGAAGGATAGGGTAAAACCAAAGAAAAGATGGACGTTAAACACTCAATTAATAAAAGAGAATGAATACATCAATAAATTAAAGGAGGAATTAAACTTTTTAATAAAAGAAAACGATAATGGAGAAACTACAAAACAAAACATATGGGATACAATGAAGGCGGTAATAAGAGGTATAACAATCTCTTATAATGCCCAGAGAAATAAGGAAAAATATTCCCAACAAAATAAACTACAACAAAGAATTAAGGAGCTAGAAACTCTACTACAGAATACTCCAAAAGATACAAAACTGCAAAACCAGATAAGTATAGCTAAACATAAATTGAATTTAATTGAACAAGAGAAAATGATTACAAATTTGAATTTGACTAGACAAACCTATTTTGAACATGCCAACAAGCCAGGAAGATGGCTATCTTATAAATTAAAAAAAAAAGAAAGAAAAGAGAATAATATACCAGTTAATAGATAACAAGGGAGATATATACCAGGAAATAGAACAGAAAAAAGAAATCATTCATAAATACTTTGAAGATCTATACAAAAAAGAAGAGGTTAGTGAAGATAGAATAAGGAACTATTTAGATGAAGTTAAAGATAAGGTAATTGGGGAAGAAATGGCAGAACTATTAAATAAAGACATTACTGAATCGGAATTGAAATCAGCAATAGATAACCAGAAAAATAAAAAAACCCCGGGCCCAGATGGAATCCCAGGGAGCTCTACAAGGGAATAGTAGAACAAATCGGACCATTTATGTTGGAAGTTTTTAATTACGTTTTACTAGCAGCCAGGATGCTGGACTCATGGGGGTGTGTGTGTGCTGATTTCGCTGATCCCGAAGGAGGATACAGATCCCAGATATATAAACAATTACAGGCCGATTTCACTCCTAAATACTGATTATAAAATATTCACTTCTATTATAGCAAACAGATTAAAAAGATTGCTAAACTTGTATATACATGAAGATCAAAACGGATTCCTTCCAACTAGGCAAATAAAGAATAATCTAAGAATAGTATTAGACGTACTAGAATATTATGAAGCCCACCCTGAGAGACAAGTAGCACTCATGTTCCTAGATGCAGAAAAAGCTGTCGATAATCTGAATTGGCAATTTTTAATTAAAAAAATTTATAATTTGAATCTGGGTACCAAATTTGAAAATATTATAACAACTATCTATGACACACAACAAGCCAATATAATAATAAACGGAGAACACACTCGCCCAATAAAGATAGAAAAAGGAGTGAGACAGGGCTGCCCACTCTCTCCTCTGCTCTTCATATTATCATTAGAGACATTATTAATGCGAATTAGGCGAAATTCAGATATAAAGGGATTAACGGTTAAGAAAGAGGAATTTAAATTGCAAGCATTTGCGGACGACATGATTTTCTTCATTGAAGAACCAATAGATAGGGGACTAAAATTGATGAAAGAACTAGAGAAATTTGGAGCAGTAGCAGGACTTAAAATAAACAGGAAAAAAACCAAATTAATGACCAAAAATTTAACAGAAAAACAGAAAATAGAATTAGAAGAAACAATGGAAATACAAGTGACAAAGAAAGTGAAATATCTAGGAATTTGGTTAACACCACACTGTAAGTCACTTAAAGAAAATAATTATGACAAATTGTTACATCAGGTAAAGAAAGATTTAGAATCATGGAGTAAACTTCAAATTTCACTAGGATTGCCACCATTAAAATGAACATTCTCCCCAAATTTCTATACTTATTCCAAACGATCCCAATTAAATTACACAAAAAGTTCTTCGAAGAACTTAACAAAATAACCCTCAAATTTATTTGGCAAGGGAAAAAACCCAGAATAAACATAAAAGCAATGCAAGATATGAAGAACAGAGGAGGGTTAGCAGTCCCAAACTGGGAGTTATATTATATGGCCACCTCGTTAGTTTGGTTGAAGGACTGGATGAATTTAACTAATAAAAGAATATTATTTCTAGAAGGCCACAACTTACAAAGGGGGTGGCACGCTTTCTTATGGGACGTAGGGAAAACCAGTCAAAAATATTTTCATAGACATTTAATTAGAGACGCGCTACTAACAATTTGGAAGAAAATACGGAAAAAACATTACATAAAAATGCCAATATGGATTTCACCCAAACAATCTGGAAATTACTAAAATGATTAAATATAAAGACTTATTGGACCCACAAGGAAATTTGAAATCGAGGCAGGAAATTCAGGACCAGGGACAAAAAATTGATCAATGGGTTTACCTTCAGATTCAAAGTAGGTACAAACAAGACAAGAAAGAATTTGGAATTAACAACAAACTTCAACAATTAGATAAAATTTTATTAGGACCGGACAAAAAAAAACATAACAAAATTTTACAATTATTTACTAGAAACAGAATTAGAAGAAGAAATTGTAAAAGGAAATATGATTGCGTGGAGTCGGAACGTAGGACGTAGTATTACACTAGCGGAATGGGAAAAAGTTTGGGGCAGGAATAATAAGATCACAAAATCGGTAGCATACAAGGAAAATCTTTATAAAATGTTTTATAGATGGCATCTCCCTCCTTCGAGACTAGCGAAGATGCACCCCAACATGAGTCCTTATTGTTGGAAATGCAAGAAAAAAGAAGGAACCCTTTTCCAAATGTGGTGGACATGTACAGAAACCCAAAATTACTGGAAGAAAATCAAAACTTGGTTGGAAGAAATTACAAAAGAGCAGATCGAATATAAACCAGAGTCCTTCCTACTAGGGATCTTTGACAAACAAATTTCCAAAAAAGCTAAATACATAACAATACACATCTTAACCGCGGCCAGATTAGCCTTCGCTCAATATTGGAAACAACATCAAATTCCACCAGATGAAGTGATTATTGATAAAATTTCACAATGTGCAGAAATGGACAAACTGACTTTGGCACTAAAAAACAAAGATACTTCACTATATTATGATAGTTGGAATTGTTGGTATAATTGGATTGATCAAAGATAAATTAGATACCATAAGGCATAAGAGGAAAGTATTAACCTATAATAATGAGATAGCGATATATGTATAGAATAGGTGTGTGTATATGACATAAATCAAAGGCTATGAAAAAAGATCTTGCAAACTGTAAAAATAAGAATGCTTTTAACTTTTCTTCCTTCTTTTCCTTTCTTTTTTCTTTCTTTTCAATCTTTTCTTTTCTTTCTTTTCTTCCTTCTCTTTTTTTCTCTCGTTTATTTGTGTATGTATCGTTGGTTGTTTTTAATTGTAAAAACTAATAAACTGTTTACAAAAAAAAAGAATATAGAGATTGATAATAAAATAATATGTGAGAAAAAACAACAACAACAACAAAGCTGGTCCTCACTTTGCACCCGGAAGTACAGCTGTCTGGAGGCGGCGCCGTGCGCGTTGGTGGCCGTAACGTTGTAGCTCCCTTCATCTTCCGGCACAACCCTCGACATCTCCACTCGCATGGTGTTGGGTCCGGTTGTGACGCTGATCCGATTAGAGGCCGAATCGTTCTTTGGGTGGCTGCTGGCCAAGACGACATCTCCTTTCCGCAGAACCCAGGTGGCTGGAGGATGGCTGTCCACGGAGCACTGGAAGATAGCCACGGTTCCCCGCTCGCTTTCCGTGAAAACAGACACCTGGAGATTCCTCGGGGCATCTGAAACCAAAGAGCATCCCTACTTAGGGCGACGCTGTCAGGATTCCAGCATTCACCCTAATTAAATCATGATTCTTGAGCCAAACTTCAAAAAACTTCAAAGGATCTATTAGACATATTGGCACTGCCCTGTATGAAGCTGTGATGACCCGGGGCATGACACACAAATAACAAAGTCACAAAAGTAGAATAAATTCCCTTTAATGCCTCCAATGTCCAATTATCCTCGGTGGGAGATCAAACTCTTCCAAAAACCTCGACCAAGATAATGCACACTTTGCTTCCAGCAAGGAGATGTGTGCAAATGCCCCACTTATATCCTGTTCTCCCAGCTGCAACTCATGAAATGGATCAGGGCCTTTTTCTCTCCCGTAAGCCATGTTGCTCCCTTCTCCGTTCCTCCCTGCATGCCCTAGGATGAAGAGGGAGTGGGCCTGGGTCTTCCTCTGAATGCCCAGCCGGACTGTGCCCTTCCCCCATTTCTTCCACAGCCACCAGAGCCACACTCCCACTCCCTGTCAGCTGCTCAATCTCCCCCTCAGAATCAGACTCCTACAAGGGCATGACAGAAGTCAACTCTGGCCTACATAATTTACAGTCTCCTGTGACCCTGTTTCCCCTCTGGGTGTCTCATAAACCAGATTCTCCAACTGATCACATTCACGGGGCTGGGTGTCATCAATCACATTCTCCAATTAAATATATTCCCGGGCAAAAGCTCTGGTATTTTAGCTACAATCTTTTAAAGATAAGAGTTGGAATGTACTTTTACTTTCAAACTGCTCTTCCAGATTTCCTTCCTCCCCCCACTTTTTTATGGCAACTAATAAACAGTCATAGGAATGTTTTATGAGTTGACAGACAGACATCAGGTGGGAATGCAAGGCCAGCAAGAGCAGAAGGCACACAGTTCGAGGGCACACATCAGGGGTGCCCTCCAGGGGTGGAATTCAAAATATTTTTAACTACCGGTTCTGTGGGCACGCGCTTCACATTCTAAAATGGGCACTCTTAAGCATGAAAACTTACCTTACCATCAGCGCTAGTAAGCAAAACAGCTGAGATGCGGGAATCCGCTGTCAGGATTCCAGCAATCGCTCTAATTAAATCAGGATTCTCGAGCCAAACTTCAAAAAAAAAAACTTCAAAGGATTTATTAGAGGCAACATTCTGGCACTGCCCTGCATGTCGCCTCTAATAAATGCTTTGAAGTTTTTTGAAGTTTGGCTTGAGAATCATGATTTAATTAGAGTGATTGCTGGAATCCTGATAGCAAGTCAACTCTGGCATACATAATTTACAGTCCCCTGTGACCCTGTTTCTCCCCCTCCCCCATGGGTGTGTCATAAATCAGATTCTCCAATGAAGCACGTTCACAGGCTGGGTGTCATCATTCACATTCCCCAATTACAGGCTGGGTGTCATCAATCACATTCTCCAATTACGAGCTGGGTGTCATCAATCACATTCTCCAATTACGGGCTGGGTGTCATCAATCACATTCTCCAATGAAATATATTCCCGGGCAAAAGCTCTGGTAGTTTAGCTACAATCTTTGAAAGATAAGAGTTGGAATGTACTTTCGCTTTCAACTGCTGCACTGCTCTTCCAGATTTCCTTCCTCCCCCCCCTTTTTTTTAATGGCAACTACTAAAACAGGCATAGGAATGTTTTGTGAGTTGACAGATACGAGATCAGTTGGGAATGCAAGTCCAGCAAGAGCAGAAGGCACACGATTGGAGGGCACACATCAGGGTCACATCCAGGGGTGGAATTCAAAATATTTTAACTCCCGGTTCTGTGGGCGCGTGCTTAGTGTTCTAAAATACTTCGCGCATGCGGAGTGTTCGTAAAACGGGCACTCTTAAGCGTGAAAACTTGCCTTACTGTCAGCTCTGGTAAGTAAAAAAGCTGAGTTGTGGCAATCTGCTCTGGTGTGCCTATCAGCTGAGCAACAAACGAAGGAAATATAGGACAGGAAAAGGCAGGGGCCAGCGGTGGTATTTTACTAGCTCCGATGATAATCGCTTCTCATCCCAGAAGCTTCTTCAGCTCAGATACTTGAATGAAAAGCAAAACATCTTCAAAGAAAACCCAGAAAGTCCAGTTGCCTCTTGAAAAAAAGCACCTTTGGGACACCAAGTGGCCTCAATGACCCTTTAAAAGGATGCAAATGACCAGCTGTCTGCAAAGAGTATAAATCCTTCCGTTCCCCACCCTACAGCCAGAGCTGAAGAAGCTTCTGGGATGAGAAGGGAAACGTCTTCAAAGAAAACCCAGAAAGTCCAGTTGTCTCTTGAAAAAAAAGCACCTTTGGGACAGGGGGGTGCAACCCAGAGGTAGGATTCTACTGGTTTGGATCGGTTCTATTGAACTGGTTGTTATGATTCTGCCCAGTTTGGAGAACTGCAAATTGCACCACTGGCTGGCCCCGTCCCTCCTGTCCCTGTCCACTCACTCCTTACCTGGCATGCACACCATCAAACTTGCCTGCTAAGTTACTATTTTTCCTTTTTTTTCCCCCCTGACCATCAGCTGTTCTGCTGTGCCCGGAGATTTAGATGAGCTAGAAAACAGGAAATCATTGCATTTCTTGTTTTTTTTACCTCATCTAAAAGCAGAGCTGAACCTTCCTTAGGACTGAAGCTTCTATTTTTCAATGCAGACTCAGGTAGCCGATGGCAGAAAGATAGATCTCTTAGGGAATCTGTGATTCTGTGAGCAACTCAATCTGCCAGCCTGCTTTGCCTGCTTTGGGGGTAAAAGTTGCTCTTTTTTTTAATAAAAAAAATAATTCAATATTTACATACATGGTGTGTTGTGAGTTAATTTTGTGAGTTTACTGGCTAGCAAATTTTATGTGACAGGCTCAGGTAGCCGATTGGAGATAGATAGATCTCTGAATGAATCTGTGATTCTATGAGCAACTCAATCTACCTGCCTGCTTTGCCTGATTTTGGGTAAAAGTTGCTCTTTTTGAAATAAAAATATTAAATATTTACATAAATATTTACAATATTTACATACAAGCCATGCCCGGCCAGTCACATGACCCCCAAGCCCCATCCACAAGTTAGGCCACACCCACAGAACTGGTTGTTAAGAAATTTGAATCCCACCGCTGGTGCAACCTATTCTCCAAAGCAGGACCAGAAGCAATGGATGGAAACTAATCAAGGAGAGAAGCAACCTGGAACTGAGGAGGAATTTCCTGACAGTGAGAACAATTAACCAGTGGAACAGCCTGCCACCAGAAGTTGTGGGTGCTCCATCACTGGAGGTTTTCAAGAAGAGATTGGGCAGCCATTTGTCTGAGGTGGTAGAGAGTTTCCTGCCTGAGCAAGGGGTTGGACTAGAAGACCTCCAAGGTCCCTTCCAACTCTTGTTATTCTGTTATTATTCTAATTATTTTTGAGAAGTGGCCCAAGCCATCCTTGTCTGGAAACAAGCAGGGGGTTTGTAAAGGGATTTTAGAACGGATTTTCAGGAAGGCTCGAAAAACAAAAATTTGGAGATGAGATAATCGGTGTTTCGCAACCTCGGCCATCTTAAGATGTACAGGTAGTCCTCCATTTATGACCAAAACAAAGCCCCCAAATTTCTGTGGCTGAGACCGGAGTTAAGTGCGTTTCACCCCATTTTAGGACCTTCCTTGCTACAGTTGTTAAACGAACGACTGCCGCCGTTCCAGTTAGTCACAAGGTTGTTCAGCAAATGGGTCTTCCCCCACTGGCTTTTCTTGTCAGAAGGTCGCAAAAGGGGGGTGTAATGTGACACCCCCCCCAGGGGGACACCACAACCATCATAAATACGAGTATGATTTTCGGCCCGTTTGTGGCCATTTTCATCCTCCCGGAGGCTCGAGGGAAACCTCGGAAGCCTCAGGAGGCCGAAAATGGGCCCGTTTCGGCACTTCTGGTATTTCCAGAAGGCCCGTTTTCGGCCTCTCGAGCCTCTGGGAGGGCGAAAATGGCCTCAAACGGGCCAAAAATCAGCTGGGAGGCGCACGCATGCGCAGTGCAGGTATGTTTGGCTAGGTCTTGCGTGCCCACACAAATGGCCAAGGGTTCACCATCACGGGCCTAGTCCACGGTGGGTGGGGAGGCATTTTTGCCCTCCCCAGGCTCCAGAGGCTTTCCTGAGGCCTCCGGGAGGGTGAAAACAGCTTCCCCGGGCTCAGGAGGCTCTTTGAAAACTGGAAACAGGCCCATTTCCGGCCTTCTCGAACTTCCGGGAGGCCCGTTTTTCGCCCTCCCTGAGCCTCCGTGCACCCCCTGCACTTCCCTGCATCCAAAATGGGTCATGTGGGGACTCCTGGGAGGGGAGGGAAAGGGTGGGCGGGGCCAGCCAGGAATGCAATTTGGGGGGCCGGTTCTCTGAACTGCGCAGAATCTTAACTAGGGGCTCTCCCGAACCCCTCTGAACCCCTCCAGCAGCCCAGCCGCCGTTCAACAAACGAACGGTTGTACTTCGAGGACAACCCCTGTATGTCGTTTTGAGTAAAATGGGGAAGGCCAAGGGGGTGGTCTTACACAACACAGAGAGTGAGGCTGAGCTGGAGATCTTGCTGGCTCCGGGATATTCCACTCGGCATTTATATGCTCCGGCGTCCCCCACGGCTGCGTGTTCCAAGAGCAGGGAATCCCCGAAGACCCCCGGCAGAAGGAGACCCTCCTTGAACCAGGAGAAGTTGGCCGAGGCTGGGAGGTTCCCGCTGAGAGTGCAGGAGAGACGGACGGCGTCACCTTCGTGGACCTCTGGAGACGGGGTGATGGTGATGCTGGTGGCTGGAGGTTGGGTGGGTGGGTGGAAGAAGGGAAGGGAAGAAGGGAAACAAAGGTGTTGCTCAATATCAATTCTGAGGAAGCTTTCCCCCCGTCTGAGGGATCCTGGGCTTGGTATGTCTTTTTTTGGCAGACGTTTTATTACCCATCTAGATAACAACATCAGTGTTAGAAGGGAGTGACTTTGCAGAGAAGGGGAGGGGGAGAAGAAGGGGGAGGAGGAAGAGGAGGAGGAGGAGGGCACATATAGGTCCCTTGCTGCTCTCTAAGCTTGGTGGGGTTTTTTTCCAGATGTTTTATTACCCAACTACGTAACAACATCAGTGCTAGAAGGGAGGGGACAGTTTATATAACATGTTGGTGGGAGGGCAAGTCACTATATATAAATAGAGAGCAAACCCCACTTCTTTCTAACATTCATGGCATTACCTAGTTGGGTAATAAAAGGTCTGCACGAAAACCACCCAGCTCAGAGAAGACCAAAGATCCTACAGCCCTTCCCCCACATCCTCCCCCTCCCCTCCCTCTCCTTCCCCTCCCTCTCATCCTTCCCCTCCCCTCCCCCTCTCTGCAAATCCCATTCCCTTCTAGCACTGATGATGTTACCTAGTTGGGTAATGAAACGTCTGCAAGAAAACCACCAAGCTCAGAGAGCACCAAGGACCCCACAGTCCTTCCTCCTCCTCCTCCTCCTCCTCTGCCTCTTCCTCCCTCTCCTCCTCCCTGCAAACCCCATTCCCTTCTAGCACTGATGATGTTACCTAGTTGGGTAATGAAACGTCTGCAAAAAAACAACAACAATCCCATTAAGCTCAGAGGACACAGTCCTCCCCCACCCCTCTCCCTTCTCTGTCTTCTCTTCCTCCTTCCCCTCTTCCTCCTCTTCCTCCTCCTCCTCCTACTCCTGACATGCCACAATTTAGGAGTTACATTTTTATTAATGCATCCCATAATTGCCTTTGCCATTTTTGCAGAACAGCTCCAGAGCCAGCAATTCTATCCCTATGTTCTGCTCAGGTTCGCCCCCTAACCAGAGTGGGGAGGAAGATTCCCATTGACCCACTTTCTGCAGTGAACTCCATGGTGGTCATGGTGTCTCCATAGCGGTTTTGAGCCGAGCACACGTATTCTCCTTCGTCGTCCAACCTCAGCTCCTGGATGGTCACCTTCAGGGTGTTAGGCGAGGAGGTCGCCCGGATTCTGGAGTCGGTGTCCAACTGGACGGGGCTGTTGGAACCCACAAGGACGTCGCCCTTGTACAGAGCGATTTCCGAGGGAGGGTCGCTGTCCACTGTGCACTGGATGATGCCCAGGTGTCCACCTTGGGTCTCCAGGAAAGAGGTCATCACGGGCAGGCTTGGAGCATCTTTTGGGAGGGGAGGAAACACACAAAAGGAAGAGAGGTTGGCAGGGTTGCAAGGTGAGAGATTTTGATCCAAATGGTCTCCCAAGGTCACCCTCGCTCGTCCTCCTGTTTTGTGAGTCGATGCTGCACAGAGGCCTTGGTTTCAGTTAACAGGGATTCGAAGATTAGTGTTATGTTTAGCTTAAACTGTTGACTGTTCTCTCCCTCTTTCTATCTGTCTGCCTGTCTCTCTCATCTATCTATCATCCATCCAACCATCCAACCATCCAACCATCCAACCATCCAACCATCCA